CCGCCCGCCCTTCACGGCCCGGCACAGGCCCCGGGCGGTCCCGGACTCTGAGTCTCGCAGTCTCGCAGTCTCGCTGGAGCAGGGCCTCTGCGCTCCTGCTCCGGCCACAGCTTGCAGTGCTCTCGGTCAGGTTTTTTGACCTTTCTTGTAATTGGGCGCGCTCGCGGCGCCGTGTTGTGGGAGCTGGTTAAACAGCGGTAATGGCTCTGCTGCGGTGCCGTGAGGCAGCGGGTCTGAGGGGTCACGTTAAAGCAGGTATTGCCCGTTCCAAGGGACTGTCGGGGACTCAGAGAATCCCAGAACAGTTCGGGCTGGAACAGACCTCAGTCCAAGCCCGCTGCCAAGGCAGGGTCACCCAGAGCAGGGACACAGGAACACGTCCAGGTGGGTTTGGAATCTCTTCAGACAGGAATACTCCGTAATCTCCCTAGGCTGCCTGTTCCAGCACTACATCAACCTGAACATAAAGAATTTCTTCCTCATATTGAGGTGAAACTTCTTGTGTTCTAGTTTATGTCCGTTTCTCCTCCTTCTGTCTTTGGGCACTGCCTCTCTGCCCTCAGGCAGGCAGCCCATGCATCCCAATGCATTCTTTACCCCATCCCAGACATAACGCTGCGTTTTCCTTGGCTTCAATGAGATTCCTGTCAGCCCCATCCTTTTGCCTTATCAGATCCCTCTGAACAGCAGCCCTGCTGGAATAAATTAAGAAAACCGACTTCTTTGGTTAGCCTGGTAAATTGACCAGGAAAAGAAAAAAATTAGAAGAGATCACTGTACAGGTCTAGGCTGCTTTCTTGTCTGTTGTGGAAATCCTTGTTTGGCTGGAGATTATCTGGGCATGGAAGTAACTTGTACTGAACAATTTTCTAACAGTTGCTGAAACACAATGCTGATAAGGCCTGATGGTAAAAAAAAATCACATTTTTATTTTCCCTCAGAAGAAGAAATAGTGGCATTTACCACCTGTGATTTTTGTTGCACTTTACCAGTTTATTTTACGAGGCTCCTTTACATCACTCACATATTTCCCCATAGGATTCTGGGCTTGATCAAACCATTCCTTAAAGCCCAAGTATTGGTCTGACTTTTATTGTCACTGAAGCAGACTCAGGGTTAATATTTGGTGACAGAAGCAGAAGATGCCCCTAGCACTGCTCTCAGTATGCAGAAATAGAACCATGACAGAATTTTTTTCTCTTTTGTTACTTCTCAGGAGTAATGAGACCTCTCCCAATGACTCAGTGATACTCTCCTCACCAGGTATTTCAACAGGACCTGCCCTTACCAAGGAGTTTTGCTGACAGCTTCCCAGCGCTGCAGAGATCCCTGATTTTCTGAGCCATCTTGCCACTGCAATTAATGCCAGCTGAGGGTTAAATAAGTAAGAGCCTCTCAGAACACGATTCTTGTAATATTTTCCATGTGGTACAGGAATTCTGAGTCTCCATATTACAATTTTTCTAACCCTTTCATGATTTGCAAAAGGAAAAAAAAAAACCACCCTTCTCTAATTTATAATTGCCCTTCCTAAATGAATAATGTAAAATTGGATGGTTTAGCAGTGTTTACACTTGGGATATGAAGAGAAAAAAAAATACAGCAGTAGAAATTATTTGAGAATACACACACTTGGCTGAAGTTCCTTTGTGAGAAGATAATACAAAAGGGACTTTTTTTTTTCTCTTCTGCTAGTAAAAACTTGGAAAAGTTGAGGGAAACATGCTAATCTTTCTATAGATTCTCTAGGGAAAGAGGAAAAAGTGATTGGCCAAAGCAGAGAGAGGGCTGAGAACTGGTGGAGCCAAATTAAGAGAATTTATGTGACAAAGAACTGATGTGCAAAAGGGAAGGCTGAGGAACATTTTATTTGGTGGTGGTACAGTGTGGTGAATAATTATAGTTGTGTCATTAAAGAACATGCAAATGAAGGGGCTGAGAAGGAACAACATGTAAAATGATGGCTCCAAATAAATGGGAGTGTTCCTGTGAATTCCAAAGAACAAGGAAAGAAAAACTTACTTTGTAACTAATTTATCAGTAATTTCCAGCCACATTCAACATGGAGGAGTTTCAGTCAAACGCTGATCAGGAACAAGGCAGAGTTGGTTTCATTCCTGAAAGAGAACAGAGTGTTCCTAAACCAGGGGAGACATGTCATGGAGCTGCTAATCCCTGTGAAGTAGGTCAGGCTTGCCAAGATGGAGATGGTACACCTCATTTGAACCTGATTAGGAACATCCATTAGGAAATGGATAAAAAGAGAAAGCAAGGAAGGCCAGTTAGAGCAAACAAGTGCCTGGGCCAGACCTTCTTTTGGTTCTGTGATGACTTCAATTACTCTGTGCCTTACACAATTTACTCTCCTTTAGCTTCAGTGGGCTTCTGTTAACCTGTACTGCTCCAGCTTGTACACTGTGTGTGTGGTGCTCTGATGGCTCTGCACAGACCTGGAGAGCTACAGTTTTCCAGCTTCCATACTCCCACTGTTGGTACAGAAAAGCTTCAGGAATCAAGCTGTCACTTTAGGTTTCCACAGCTGTTTATAGAAGTGTAGTCATGAACCCCAGGTAAGTTTTGGACAGAATTTGATTTAAAGAAAAAAAAAAAAGAAAAAAAAATAATTCTAGTCTGTATTTGTTTGCTTTAATCTCAGTTTTAAAATGTGAAGTTCAACTATGGTATGGAAAGAACAAGTGAAGCTACATGAAGGGAAAGATACCAACCTGTCCTTTTGTTTTGTGACAGCTCACAAATATATCTGTGCTGGAATGATAATTTATCTGGGTGACCAGCCCTTGCTCTGCACAGAGGACAACACCAAAGTACATTTTTTCCTAGACTTCCCCATCAGTAATTTCACTGTTTCTCTTGAACTGTATGAGAAACACAGGGCTTTGTGTTTTGCCACTATTTTTATATAGGAAGGTTGAACTAGGTGACTTCTGAAAGGTCCCTTCCCACTCAAACTTTGGTGTCTTTGTGTTCATTGAATTAAAATTTGCCTCCTCTGACAATGTGGTTTTCTAGTGGAAAAAAGAAGGGAATTTAAAACTTAAGAGATTTTAGGTGTGTGCTACAGAGGATGAAGTTGGAAAATTCTTTCTGTATCTTGGTTTCCATTAGATTTATTTTCTACTTTGTTGAGTGTTGTCCTATTATTAGTTTGTGTGGGTGTCTCGTGGTAAGGAAAGGTATTCCAGCATTCTTGACATCTTTTCTTTCCCTGTGTGCCATGATGGATTCATGACACTGCCTAGAGCAGAATAAATTACTGAAACACTGATTTTCCTAAAATACACTTGATACCACCAGCTACAAATTTTTTTCCAGTTCTCTACTGGATTTCCAGAGCTACACTCCTAAACTTCTGGAATTTGTTCTCGATGGATTGGTTGTGAAACTAGAAAACAAGAGGTTATCCTCACACAGACAATAGCAATGATGGTATTTCCAATTTTAATTTGTACATGTGTGTAACAAAACAATGCAAATAACAGTTGCAATATACTTTTCACTATGTGAATGCTAAAAGAGGTTTATAACTTAAATAATGTGGTAGAGAGTAAAGAAGATGTGGCCAAAAATACATATTCAATGCATTTTCTAAAATGGATTTATTGAGAATAAAGTTTGTTACATTTAAGGAGAATGGCTTAGTTTAGAACAGATAAATCAAGAAATACACAGCACTGTAACAGCTGGGAAGTCACCATGGCTCTGCCTTTGATGTCCAATAAAAATGAACAAAAGCTTTTAGACAAAACTTTGACTTTTGAAAAGGAAAGTTCATATCTGTGCTTCAAAATCAGACTAAAGAATTCATTGGAATATTAAAAGGATATACATGAAGAGCTTTCTTGTTCATATTCATCAAATTAACGTGAGTCTAATGACTAACCACCAAAAGGTAGGTATGAAATGAGAGGAGGAAATCGTATTTGCAGGGTACTGTCCCCAGAATACATCCAGTTGAATGTGATAATCAGTAACATCTCTGACTAACTTTGGGTTTTGCTGTTCTCCAGAAATGTGAAGAACTAGGCCTGCCAAGATTTGGAGACAAGTTATCAAGGGTATTCAGCATTGAAAAATGTATCTTACTATCAAAAAAATATCACCCCTCGCTTTTATACTTTTTACACAGGGAAGTTGATGTGCACCCACCCTCCTGAGTGGCTCTTCTTGATTTTGTAGTATGAAATAACATTGAAAAATCTGCTTTTTTCATCTTGCCTGCATGTCCAGAGGTGGAGTTTGTCATCCAAAGTCTGAAACAGAGGCGCACCAGAGTACAGCAGTGTTCAGTGTACTTCCTGCAGCCAGAGGTATCCACAAGCTCCAGGGAGCAGGGATAATACCAGAGCACACCTTGTCCAGGAAACAGAAATGCACCCGTGGGAGCAAGAGGAACAGCCTGCTGCCTCTGGAAAGGTGACTGCTCGGCGGGGGATCTGGCACAGAAAGGACAAGGGTGGAGCCTGCAGGGCAGCCTGTTCCTCCGGCAATGCCTCTGTGTCAGCATCTTCCCCCTCTCCCGAGGTTCCAAGGGAAGGTGGGGGGGAAGGCATTGCCAAGCCTTATGTAACCTCCAGCCCTGGAAAGAGGTGCATGCTGGGGCTCCCTCTCCCCACACAGCACCCCAGCATGCAGGCACGCCTCCACACCCTTCTCTTTGCACAAGGCAAGAGAGACCTCCCACAAGATCATCTCCCACCTCTACTGTGCATCTGTTCATTTTCTGCCTGTCAAGCCTTCTCAGAATTTAAAAGATCTTACAAGAGATAGGGGGAACAAGCTTTCAAGTTTGAGTGCATCAGATCTGGACAGATCTGATATCAAACGTGAATTTTTATTGCTTTGGCTTACTTTTCTTACCTTTTTTTTCCCCAGAGTGGAAAAGAAAGAGAACTGCTGTGTAAGGAATTGTTGCTTGCAATGTATTTTTCTGAGCAATAAAAATACCTTCAAGACAGCAGTACAATTCTCTTTTTAGCCTTGACACTTCCAAATCCTGATATACGTGGCTGAGTTAGATGGAAAGGTATTATTAGGTTTTTATTAGATTATGATGCAAACTCAGTCTGGCTAGGCTCATCAGGCAGTAAATCTAGTGCCAACAGCTGTGACCAAATTCTGCTCCTGTACCTGTTACTGCTTGTGGTCAGTTTTCCTCTGGTTTTCTGTCAGTTGTGAGAAAGGCATGCATGTACCAGGGCAGGCTTCCAGTACAACCAGTATTGACAGAGTAATTGTGATTGTGCTCCTAAATGAAATCAGGAATAATTCTATTAAAAGAAGAAGAGTTAGTCTTCCTCACACAATGCAGGATTCCAAAATTCAGCCTTAATCACACAAATAGGACTTGTTAGATACATCATGGGTATTAGACATGGCTTTTACCATCAGTGACTTCTTGTTTCAACAATAACCTTTTTTCAGCTCCTGTCTGGCAGCCACATGTTGTGTTAAAGAAGTGAATCAAACTCTGTTAGCCAGGGAGACCTGGAGATCTGCTGTTGTCCTCTGCAGGGACTGCACAAGAACTGTGACTCCAAAAGCTTCCCTGGATCCTGTGAACACAGCAAGTGCTGTTTCCATTCCAGGCAGTGCCACAGTCCCACTTCAGGAATGCCAAACTCACTTTAATCCTGCTCTGACTGCTGCAGGAGCTCAGCAGTGAAGCAAAGGTACAGATGGAAACCCAGGCCAAGCTCACAGATGTCCTGTGGCAGAGGAGCTGCTGTGCACTCTGTAACATTCAGAATAGATGCTGTGATTTTAAAGGTTGCAATACACCAAGACTTCCTCCAGAAAGAATAAAAGCTCACCTGGCAGGATGGCAAGTTTGAGAAAATGAAAGCTGTTGCATCAAAAGCCAAATTCTTGCTTGTAGGCAGCTCTTGGATAGTGCAGCAGAGCCATAAATCCAGATGCCGCTGCATGTAGTTCTCAAGCAAAGCTTCCAAAAATCCCAACCTCTGCAAATATCCTTATTTATTTATCTGCTGAAATAGGCAACTTCTGATGAAAGCAGCAGGATATAACACTATATATAACAGTATATATAACAGTATCTTCCAATGTATTGCTGTATCCACACTACCTTTTCTGAGTTTGTAGCCATTCTATCCCCCACTAAGAAAATATCTTCACCTAAAAGCAGTGAAAAATAATATTCCTGCCCCCAATCTGAACAATTAATGGATATTCTGCCTTGATATTTATTCCAGTCTTCTCTAATAATTTTCAAATTTCGGAAAGTAATGTTAATTTCCAGGTACTTCAAAACAGGTATAGAATCCTTATCCTGGACCTCCTGTTTAACCAGATCTCCTGTTCCTTTCCCACTTACCAGTGGATAATGTGCACCAAGGACAAGTAATGCCCAGCCTCTTTTTTTCTTTTTCCCTGGCAACCATTTAAACAAGGTAACAAGTGCACATGTCATTGCAAGGCACTGGAAAAGTCTACCTGTACAGAGAAACTTACTGAAATCCCCACTGAATGTGAGAAATGTAATTATGTGACTATATCGTGCCATAGCTTTGCCACTGTAATTCTCCTCCCTCTCCCTTTCCCAGAGACTGTTGAAAATAAGTTATTTGAACGAAGAATTACATGCAATATGATCCGATTTTAACTCAGCACTTATCTTGAATCAGTAGTGTCCAATAGACATTTCAGGCCATTTATTCTTGGGACAATGATCTCAAATTGTTCCTGGAATTTTAGGAACAAGATCACTTTCAGTTAGAGCAGAAAATCTGTGGGGTAATTTTATGATAAGTTAGTAGAATGAAAATTGGAGTCAATCCAAAAAGTTTTTTACACTGCAGTGTAAAGCAGGTGGAGTTCCAAATTCTTGTTCCAGAAAATACCTTTTTCATAACCAAAAATCCAGGTGAATGATGAGCCAGATGAACAAAGGTGATTTTATTACCAGGCTGCAGAATTCCTACCAAATTAAATTTAAAGATTGCTTACGTGTCATATTAATTTATGTGGTCACAGAAATAGCTCTGCTCAAAAAAAAAAGTAGTGGTATACAGATTAATAATCCTGGGCAGGGGTGCATTTACATCCCCTCTGCTGCTGGTGAGCAAATGCCTCTCTACAGGTGCCAAGGAAAATGGGCCACTCAGACAACTGCTTGCAGGCCAGGCTCCATCTGGTACAGAACATTCCCAGAGCTCGCTGTGCTGCTGCTGGGGCTGACAGTTGCCAGAGGCCCAAACACTGCTGCTGTCTAAAGAACCTTTTAGGCAGTTTGTCACCTGGGGTGGCACTTGTCTTTCAGGTAGTAGGACACTGATCTGGTGGACTGCTGTATCAGTCCCTCTTCCTGCAGGGCTGTTGGATTTGGCAGGAGTCTGGCTTGGGGAGTCACTGCTAGGTTAGGCTGCAGATCAATTGTTCAATGGAGAAATTGTATCTTGTTGCTGAGCCACATGAAAGCAGAAGTTTTTTAAAATGCAAATTGTCTGCAAAAAAAGAAGAGTGTACTCAAACTTCCAGGAGGCTGAAATTCTAGTCTTTTGTTTGCCAAGGCCACAGAAATCTTTGCATATATAATCAGCAATCAGTCATTAAATGCTACTTCCAGAGTGTCCATAAATATTTAAGCCTATTGCAACTTTCAGACATATGGTTTGATAATTAAGGTGATTCCCACGAAGAAAATGTTTGATTTTGATCTGGGGGGGATTCCTGAGCAGAGCACTTGTGATCCAGCCTGAGAACATGAGGGTCTCAGTCACGAAGTCAAGATATTTTTCTTTTGAAAGAACAGGAAAACTGCAGAGGGTGCACATTTATCTGAAGTGTGGGCTGATGATACGGGCTAATTTAAAAGTTTCTTTCAGAGCTACCCTTTTGCCAAGGAATGCATTAACAGATATCTAGAAATAGCAGGCTTTATATGGAATATGTTGAAGTTGGTAAGTGCTGAGAGGCTCATTTGCCATCCTTCTCCTGTTAAGAACTGTTCAGCTCCACAAGTGGACAGTGCAAACCAGTTCTAATAACTGGATTATGTATGGTAACAATCTAATGGATATAAATACATGGTTTTATATGGCTTATTCCAGAAAAGCCCTGTACTGAAAGTGATGGATATTCTTTAAGCTGATGTTTTATGTTTTGTTGTCCCATTTCTGTGACTTTTTCCATGACAAATGAGTAGGAAAAAACGGGACAGCATAAGATAATGATGGCATTCTCTGTTTATGTCTCAAATTCCACAGGGAGATGTTTTGCTTCTGTCTGGGAGATGCATTTGTGAAAGAAAACCACCAGGAGTGTAAACCTGAAGCCAAAGGCATCTTGAAAGGAGCCACATTCAGTGACTGAGCAGACACTGACACTCGTAACACTGACAGAGCCTTGGCCACAAAGATAGGGGAAGGCTGCTTCCTGATTTGACTTCACAGGGAATTGTGCTTTTGGCAAACCATTAAGGTATTACTAGAAATTTATAGTTTATTTTTGATTTAATCAGAGATCCATGCACAAGAATCATGTCCTGGTAAATGGTTCTTTCTGACAGCACTCCCGGTCCTCCTTTCACATGTTTGGGAAGAAGCTGAGTTAAATGCTTCATTGAGATACAAGAAAAGAATACTCCGTTGCAGTTTAGAGAACAGTAAAAAATATATTAAAATTAAAGAACCATCCAAGCAATTTCTGAAATGCAACCATGTGATTTCTGTTGCAGAAAGGAGAAAAAAAGCCATAAGAATGTGCAAGGAGTCAGGCAAGTCCCACCACACCCTAAGAAATGAGCTCTGCTGTCATTCTCTAAAACAGAGGGCTGTCATTTGGAAATGTAACAGACATTTTTTAAGTCTTCCTGTCTGCCTACCATTTTCTATTGCTTGTGGTTCATCATTTCCCAGTAAAATCTGGGCTGTGAACAAAAGGCCAGACAATTACAACTTTTTTTGGCTGGTAACAGGTACTGGTTACTTCTGCCTAAGAAGAACTCCGGATTTTATGCCCAGAATTTTTTAGGGCTCAGCACTATCCCTTAACATAAGTACCAAAAAAATAGCAAATCATGGGGGACTGTAATGAAAGTATAACCCCTCCCTTAGGGTTACTGCAGCATCAATCTGCTGTTTTTACATTGCATTCCTGTTTTCTAAAAGTCTCTAGTAAAAGCACAGATAGCTTTTAACCAGCCTGCTTGTTTGTCAGCAAAGTAAGAACCAGAACCTTCTTTGGAAATAAAATAAAATAAAATGAAGGAAGTATGTTGCTGAGGGGTCTTAAAAAGAAACTGCATCAGAGCCCTGAGAGCACCAATCAACTCTGTTGGTCCTGATCAGCTTCACCTGAGCCCCTGCCCACACCCTTCCCACAGTTCCTTGGGCCCTATTTAAGCCCAAACTTGAGGTCCTGTGTGTTGGTTGTAGTTTTTTTGTAGGGATGGTGGTCTTTAGCTGTGCTTTATGATTGTCTTTAGTGCTTTGCCTGCCATTTTCTCTCCTAGCTAGGTGGGACCTGTGCCTGGTTCATCCTCATGCTGTGTTTGAGGTAAGTGATGAGTTTTGTTGTTTGTAACTGGTTTGTGTTGCTCTGGTGAGTTCTGTGCTGGGGTCCTCCTCAGGTCCTGCCTCAGCCCTGCTCAAGCTTTTGTTGCTACCTGATATGTAGAAGATGGATAGATGAGGGCTGGAATGAAACTTTGGGAGGTGAGAGTGGAAACTTCAGAAGTTAAACTTATTTTTTCTGATGCTTTAGTAACATTGGGAAGCATTTACACTTGCTTTAAAATATCTAGATGTGGGCAATTTGCAGTTTTCTGCACAAAGTAGTTAGGCTGAGTTTTTTTTATTTTGATTGGCCTAAGCAAGGGGCTAAAGATTCCCAGCTGGCAGCTCCTCCATCCTGTTTCTCTGGGATGTGTGCTTGTCACAGGCTCCTGTCACTGAAACCAACAGGATTAGAGAGCAGGATTTGCTTCTGTACTTCAGAATAGTCTGTCCAGAGGAACAGATTACTGGATACTAACCTAATCTTCTGAAAGAACCATTCCTCAGCCTGCAAGGAAATGGAGATTACTGGTGGTTCCTCAAGAGAAGAGAGCTGAGAAGGGAGATATTTAATGCTGTCTATAGCCAGAGCTTTTTGTGTAACTTGTATGTTTGTCCTGAAAGCATGAATACAGGTGTCATATTCAGCTCAAACACCCTTTTGCAAAGTATCTGATTTCTGTGAATTGCTATCAGCAGGCTTGTGGAGAAATCAGATACAGACTGTGGATGTTCTAGTACACCTAGGCCAGATGCAGTTAAAGCTTTTGGAAGCGTTGCAGTTTCAGTTCTCATTGGATTCACCCAGCTGCTTATGCTTGGATTCTAATTAGCCTCACTTTGTATTTTTCTGCAGGGTAGCATAGCAAACCTGGCATATTTAATACAATTGCCATGCTGCTTTCACAGCTTTAGCTGTCAGCCTGCTTTTGTTCTGAGGAAATAGAAAGATTGTTAAAATCCAAGCTGGAAGGAAGGAGTTAGAGAGGATATTTGAACCTCTGAGCTTTCATGAGGCATGAAAAAACAATGGGAGTGTGTAGCTCTACTTTATATGGGTAACTGTCCTGTAGAACTATTTTTTCAGATCAAAAATTTCCTTCTTCTCTGGCTGAAAATGATCATCTTTCTCTCTACCAGTGCCTCTTGCTGTTTTGTAGCAGTTTGCAATATGTCTTGCTGTCTTTGAGCCACTTTGCAGTCTCACTTCAGTTGTTGGTTTCTCAAAGAATCCAGGGGAGTGTGTCATTATGAGGGGTTTAACGAAGGTAATGGGGAAATCAAACCGTTTCTTTTGCAGCATCTCATTTTAAGAGGCTTGAAAAGGTCTGTGTAGCCTTTTTATATAAAATACTGTATGCACCCCCCAAGTACAAATATATTGTTGTCCTAATTACCTCACTAAAGGTAGTGAAGCTGATGCAAACAAAGAAAGACTGATGTAGCCCAAGGCATTCAAGTTTGTCTGAGCAGAGTTAAATGTGCTTCCTAGACTGTTCTAACAGCTCAGTTGTGTTTTCTGCATTTCATCTTGGTGCTTTATTCATTTGGACACAGCAAATACCTCCTGCTCTTCCATTTCCAATGGACCAGTCTTCATGTGAGGACAAATGTTATATTGTTGTGTTTGGTAATAGGAATTTTGCAGTCTATCTTTTTATTTGGAAAGATTTCCCTAACAGGGGCAGGGGGCTGGTTGGAAACACTCTGGGTTTTTTTTTATATTCTATTTTTGTGTTCAGATGTACTTGATGAGCTCTATAACACTAAACAGAAGCTGAGGGCTTTTCCCAGTGTCTTCCCTTTATTCCTACTGGTCACTAATGCTGTAGACATCACTAGTGCTTTGTACAGGTGACTGCCTTTGAAAACACCTGTGTATCAGAATAACCTAGTGAGGAATGTTAACATTACTGCTGTACTAATTAAAAATTGTAGCAAATACCCTGTGCCAACTCATCCTGAATTAATGGTGTTGATAGAGAAAAAGTTGCTAAGATTGAATTTGTGGAATTTCTTGGTTCCCTGTTAGGACTGTCAGATCAGGCCCCTCTTTCCCATCTGATTAAACTTCAATATAGGAATTGGAAGGCTGGATCTGACAAATATCTGCCAAAATAAGGGTCCCGTTTCAACACAGGTTACTAATTTCCTGAGGAAAGATTATGAGTTAGGGCTGTGTATAATATTTTTATGTTAGAAGTACTTGGCAACAATAGGGGTTTCTGGAGCATTTAATTTATCTTTAATTATCAGCAATGGACTTATGTGAATTTATTTATGCATCTCTGAACTTGTTCATAGTTCCTGGATCCTTTAGCAGGAGTTCCAGAACTTAACTGTGCTTCATATTACAAAAGTAATTCCTGCTTTTGTTTTAGCTCTGTGGTGTCTCAGATCTAGCACTGTAAGAACTTGATAACTCTTTTTTTAAAATTTCCTTTCTCTTTAAATATTTTGTAGACCAAGTGCTGCTCCACTGACTGTGGTGGAAGCTGTGCTGATGATTTATAAAGTAAATTCCTGCTCTCCATGTATTTCCCACCTCTCTCCCAGTTAGCTGGCTCTGTAATATGTTAATGACAGCTTGGAGCAGGTGTGATTTCCATTTGTGTGATGAACCAGTTGTGTACTTATCCTTTGCGAACGTGCTGACAGATTGGGAATGCATCCAGTTAGACAACCCA